TCACCAACCGGCTGAGCAGCACCTCCGCGTCGTCGGCAGTGCGCTCCGTAATTATGGCGCTGGTGGGCGGCCAGGTTGGTCTGGCTGATGCCGCGCAAGGCCTCGTCCAGCAGGCTGACCGACCTCTTCGGGGACTGCAGTGCGATGTCCGAGACGCCCTGGGCCGCGGTCACCACCGCCGACAGGCCTGCGCCGCCGCGCCCAGGATGATGCCCACGGATTGGCGTCGACAACTAGAGCCTCCCCAAGAGCGCGGCGGCAACGGTCGCCCTCGTCGCGCCGCGGCCTGGGGCCTTCCAGCGCCGGCGCGCCGCGGCCGCGCCCACGCGTGGCGGCGCCCAGCCGCCCACGCCCATCGCCTACGAGGCCGCCCCCGGGGGCCGCGCCACCGCGGGCGCGGCCCCCGACGCCTGAGGCGGCGGGGCCGCTGCCACCTGCTGGGCAGGCTGCGCTGCCTGGACCATGAAGCCGTCCACCAGCGCCCCGGTGTCGGCGGCGGCGCTGCCTGGACCATGAAGCCGGCCCCGGCGTCGGCAGAGGCCTCGGGCCCGCCACTGCAGGCGATGCCACCAGGCGCCCCCGCAACCCGGCCTGCCACGGGCGGATCGACGATGCCGTCCGCCCTTTTCTTGTAGCCTGCTGGCTGCATGCATGTCGCCCCCGGGCTCGCCACAGATGCCCGACGGGAAGTGGCTGGCCAGCTGCTGCTCGGCCGCCTCCCCAGACCCCCAACGTCATGATTTTTTCATGACGCGACCCCCAGAGGTCCAGACCCATTCCCCGGGACCGGTTTTTCATCCCGAGTCGTTTTTTGACGGTCCCGAGGCCCGGTAAGGGCCCTCCGAGGCCGAAAATGGCGAAAAACCTCCCGTCGTGACTTTTTTCATGACTCGAGGGGGTCTGGGTCTCGGACCAGGCGCGCGATCCTTTGCTGCTCACCCTGGGCCAGGACGCCGAAAGTGGTGACAGCGTCCACGTAGACGCGGGTTTTTTTTTTCTTTCCTCTCCCGCGGCGACCACAGCATGCCCAGGCACTGCGGCAGCTACTACGCCAACAGCCTATGCTATGCTGTGGGTCCACGGCCAGACAGGGCTCAAACGTAATAAGTCCCCCTCCCTGCGCCGGCCGCACGCCAAAGAGGAGGCCAGGGGACCGGGCTCCGTGAGCTGCCTCCGCGGCCCCTCGACTTCCCGGGGGGGACTGACACGAGCCGCGGGATGTCGCCGGCAGCCCCTGCGCGCGCCGGGCGCGGCGCCCGGCGGATGTCTTAGCGCATGGCCCCTCTCGCCTTGCGCGAGCCTGCGCCTGTAGTCGACAAGCGAGTGCGGGAGGAGGAGGGCCGCTGGAAGTGTTCCCTCGGAGACCAGGTGCAGGGAGTTCTCCAGGATCCCGTCCTGTTCAAACAGTATAGCACGTGGCATTCTTCTGGCCTCTGCCCTCGCCTTCGCCCCCAAGTCCATGGCCCAGTTCGGTTGCAGGCCACCCTCTCGACGATGGCATCGGTGTATCTTTTGCTCTGAGCTGCAGCAACCCCAGCGAGCGCAGCCCGCGGTCCACCTGGAGAAACCGCCCTAGTCCAAGCCTCGGCAGTCCCCAGACGAAAAAACGCATCGCCACCAGGTTCGCCAGCACTCGTCCCAAGGCCGGCTCATGCTTTACTTCAGAGGACACTCGCCAATAATCGATGATGGAGTGGGGCCACGTCAACTTCCTTCTCAGGCTGCCCTGTAGGTCACCAGGGTATGCGGCTATATCTTCTCAAGAAACGTATCACGAAGCCTCTGGGGCCCCGACAGATGTCGGATCAGCAGGTTGCTTGGTCGTCTCCACCCATGGAATCATAACTTTGGTTCGCGATGCCAGCGCTGCTGCCGTCTTCTGTCGCAGCAGAGGGTTAGGATGGTGTGCTGGCGATCGTCCTTCGTTGACTGCCCAGTATGCTCTCTGGTTGTCCTCCAGCATCGGCAGCCCCGTGCGATGCGAGGATGGTGTAGCCGCTGCTATCCTGCTGATCTTCACCGCGCAACGGCCCTCGCCCAGAGTGTTGTGGTCTGCGGCTCGCCATCGCCCCTGACCAACCACCGCCCACTCGTCGCCGGGCTGGGCGACTCGGTCCGGTAATAGGCTAAAAGGCTTTGTCCTGCGGATCGCCTGCTCAGGCCGCCGCGGCTCGCCGTCCACGCGCGCCACTGCGTAGCCCAAGCCGCCGCCGGCGCAGATAGGGTCCCTGGCGATCTCGTCGCTCATGTATGTCGCCAGCCAGCGCTCCTCAGCCGCCGTCGTCCACGTCGCTGAGGCCCACCGCGCCCGCCGAGAGAAGTGCACCGGGGCAGGCTTGGCCCAAGCGTCGGCGCGCCTCGGCGGCGCGAGCTCGGCCCGGGCCCGCAGCGCCCCGCGGGCGGCCACTCGAGGCTCCCCTCGCTGCAGCGGGTGCCGCTCCGGCAAGCCGGGCACGGCGCGGGGGGCACGCGGCGCAGCTCTCCTCGGCAGCGCGCCCCAGGCCCAGACGCCGAGCAGCGCCCCGAGCTCGGCGCACGCGCGCGCGCCGCCCCGCGGCCAGCGCCTCCAGCTGCTGCGCCAGCGCCTGCGGTTGCGCGGGTGGCGCCCGCAGCGGCGCGGGCTCGCCCCGCGGGGCGTGGGCCAGCGCCGCTTAACACGTCGGCGGGCCTCGTCGCGGCCGGGCCCCAAGGCCAGTGGATGCTGACGTGTGTGCCGAACTCCCGTGCAGGTCGATGCCAAAGCTGGGCTCGCGATCGGTCTTTCCATCGATCTCACTGCCTGCATAGCGATAGCACCAGCTCTCTGTCGTCGATGCCACTATCGATCCATCGGGGGGCGGCCACCTTGACAACCAGCGCATTGTTTGTTGCATGCTGGCATAAACCTCGAGACGCAGAGGGCGCAGAGTGTTTTGGGCCGAACGCCATCGGAACAACCGTCGAGACAACCGTCTGGACAACCATCGGGACAACCGTCGGGACTGCAGTCGGGTCAACAATCGGGACAACCATCGGGACAACCATCGGGACAACCGTCGGGTCAACAATCGGAACAATCATCGGGACAACCATCGGGACAACCATCGAGACAACTATCGGGAAAACCGTTCGGACAACCGACGGGACAACCATCGGGACAACCATCGGAACCACCATCAGGACAACCGGCGGGACAACCGACGGGAAAACCGCGGGCCACCGGCCGCCAACCGGAGGAGAGACTTCTGCTCCGATTTCGCCCGCGCAAGCAGCCTTGCGTCGCCTGCACGAGCGACACGAACACGTGACCGAACTTCCTTTCGTGGTGGGAGGTCTCCGTCTCACTTCGCTCCCCCCATCCCCCCCCCCCACCGATTTCCGATCCCAGCAAGTCACCCTACCAGCAAGATGCCAGTGTGCCGTTCTCCGAACCCTGGGGCCCCGGATTCATGAAAGCCACGCGCCCCTGCCGCGGAAGTCTGGACCTGGGCCTGGTCACCTTGTGGACGCAAGAAGCCCAGGGGCGTGCACCCACGGGGGGGGGGCGTGTGGGGACATGCCTGGGGTGTGAGAAGGTGTCTGTGGCCACATAGACAAGATAGACATCTTCTTACCACCCCATGCACCACACACGTGGGCGCGCCTCTCGGGACGCGTCTGGGGACTAGCCCGGGGAAGTCCATGGGCGCGCGCTTGGTAGCGCGTCAGGGGGCGGATGCCTGGGGCCGTGCACGTGACTGTATCGGGGGATGTCCATGGGAACGTCCTCGGAGGCTGTGCCCAAAGACACCTCGGGAGCGCGTCTGAGGCGGACCGGAAGAACCCCCCGAAGAGGGATTGACTGTGTTCTGGCCAGCAGCCCTCGACCACACTGAAAACTCGATAACGATCGTTGCGAGGGCACCGTGGCGGCCTGTTCGAGCGCGGGGAAGAGGATGGAAGAGGACTGCAGCTTTGCGCCGCCCTCTGACGCCCAGGAGAAGAGAGCTGCCACACGGAGCGGCCGTACTGCGCGGTGCTCCAAGGGTCGCCGCACGCAGCGCTGCGCCGACACAGGGACGGAACTTGCGTGAACGCCTGGGTGCCGCCCCAACGTTTCCCGCGCGTGTTTCGGGGCCGTCCGTCTTGGACCTGCGTGAGCCTACATTGGAAGTGATTCGGGGCCGCCCTGGGGACACGAAAAGGGATGGGCAGGAGGAAAGAGCAAGGAGCAGGGACACGAACGTTGGGAGAACCGGGGGGGAGAGGGAGGAGTTTAAAGACGTCGGCTGGCACGTTACCAAACTTGCAATTATTTGACGAACGTGTCCCCCACCAACGACATCGAGCCAGTCACACTGGGACGGGTTCCGCTCGAGAGTGGGCCTGGGGTCAGACTCCTTGTGCATCACGAGTATGCATCTCCAGATGTTTCTCTCTCTCTCTCTCTCTCTCTCTCTCTCTCTCTATATATATATGTATATATACCACTGTTATTCGCCAGGAGGGGGTCCCACGACATCCTTTTCTTGCGCGGCACCCAAGTGGTCCGGCGCAGCCAAAACAGTCCTTGGGCAGACGCGGAACGCCTGGAACACAGCGAACCGCTCAGCCCGAGGAGCACTCTGGGCCCGACCAGGGGGCGCCCCAAACCTGGCGCGGACTGGCGGCGCCCCGGAGGACAGGTGACAGGAGGAAGGGGGAGGATGAGGAGGGAGGGAGGATGAAGGTGAGGATGAGGATGAGGAGGAGGAGGAGGAGGAGGAGGAGGAGGAGGAGGAGGGGAAGGAGGAGGAGGAGGAGGAGGACGAGGAGGAGGAGGAGGAGGAGGGGGAGGAGGAGGAGGAGGAGGAGCAGGAGCAGGAGCAGGAGGAGGAGGAGGAGGAGCAGGAGGAGGAATAACAAAAAGGAGAATAAGCAGCGGGATGAGGCGGGGGGGCCAGGGCCACGCGGCAAGCAACGCCGCCTGAGAAAGTGAGGATGACGCGCTTCACCTCGCCGTCCTCGACGGCGCCTGCCGCAGTGGCGCACAGCTTGCCGTCCTCGCCGACGGGGTGGAAGATGAGCAGCATGGGCGGGGTGGTGATCAAGAGGAGGAGCACGAGGAGGAAGAGGAGGAGGAGGAGGAAGAGGAGGAAAAGGAAGAAGTATGGAGAACATGGAGAGCAAACAAGCGAGCCCGCGCAAGAGGACTGCCGTACGAAGAGTACTGCCTCATTGCACAACGGCCGCCCTCCGCCCCAACACGGGGAGACCAACCTCCTCACGTGCAGGGAAGGCCGCTCGCTCATCGTCGAAGAGCTCACGCAACACGGTCGAGGTACAGGTCAGCGCCATGTCGCCCCGTGACTCGCTACTCATACGTGATGGCGGTGGTGCGTAGGGGGACGGTCCGTTCACCTCCTCACTGTGAGGTCCTTTTCGACTATATCAACCCCTGCCAAAACATATGACGCGTGCAACTGGTATGGTTCCCCAGGGCGAAACATGACGGAAAAGGAGGGAGAGGAGGATGGGGGAGAAGGAAGGGGAGGAGGATGGGGGAAGAGGGGAAGGAGGAGGGGGGAGGAGGGTCCAAGTCCAGCACCCCCAACCGAGCCCGAAGGAACGGGAGGGAAGCGAATTGCGGAGGCGCCCCAGGATCACCCAGGGCGCCGAAGGGATCAACCCGCGAGCCAATCCAGAAAGAGGAAGCCAGGCCACCGAGGCCCTGTCCAGCAGGCCGGGGGCGGCAAGCCGTCGGCCACGAGCGGAGAGCTTGGGGGGACGGGGTCCCCGCTCCCAGGCTCAAATCCAGAACTCAACCTCTTGACACTGTGCCTAGCATTCGCCAGTGCACTGCGGTTCCGGGCCTAGACAGTCATCTTTCGGCTTCTTCGCAGATCTGACAAATGTGCCCCTGTGAAGACTGCAGTGGCCACGAAGCTCGCACATGCCTGATGGACCCCGGCGGACGATTCTGTTTCCCGACCCGAGGTCCTGCGACCCCAGACACGGCGTGGAAAACAAACCCGAGAACTGCTTGACAGTCTGCGCCTCATGCAGGCAGTGACTACACCTGACAAGACTCTCGTCCACCTGCGCAATATCATGTTTCGTGATCGACACAACTTCGGGGCCAGGCCACGAACTTGATATTCTGCTACAGCGGGTCGCCCCCCCCCCATCTGTGTACAATCGCGCAGCCCTTGGGACAAGGTGCGCGAGGTGGGAGGCCGTCGACGTGGCGATCTTCAGCAGGCCCGTGTGGTTGCCCGCCCAGACACCAGCCACTTGGATTTCCACCGCTCCACGATCTGCAAACACACCCGCCCATGCACAACCAAGAAGGGTGTTCCAATATGCCTCTTTGGCTAACAAGCTCGAGAGAGTCCGTAGAAGCCAGCGCCCACTGACACTGACACTCGCCCGAACCCATCCTGCACGCACTGAGAATAGCTCTCCAAACAGCCGCGTGCGCAAAATATGCAACAACCAACACAGGACGTCATCGCTTCGCCTACTCTCGCGGTGCTCGAAGCTCCTGTGTCCTTCGTGGATCGTTCCGTTGGCTGTTGTCTGGTGGTCTTCTTTGCCCTGGCAGGGCCTTTGACCTGGACTTTGTCAAGTCTCGGGAGTGTGTGCACTGGGGAGATCCCAAGGGGACATTGGCTCATCAATGGAACTGCTGCGAGATTCTCGGGAGATCGGAGGTGCTGCCAGAGGCCATCCCGGAGGAGGTGTGGAAGTTCAGGGAAGGGCGCCGCAAATTTGTTGAGAAAAAGTACGGGGACTGCGAGAGCTTCGATTTGACGTACGGCTTGTCTTGAAAGCCGACGCAGTCGCCACAGCCCTTTACGAAGCCCGAGGTCATTGGATGGGGCGATGATGAAGGCGAGTGGGGGCCAATGGCGTGCACTGATGCGCTGGGGCCTCACAGTGTTCACCCTACGTTGTGCCGTGTGGGTGGGCGGTGGTTCAACTATGCCCTATGTCTGGATGGCCTGTGGGGGCCAGATTTGGAGGTCTGCCTGAGATCGAGCAGGCCGTGCCGAAAAGGGAGGGACTAGGTGGGCTTACGGCGCTGCGATCTAAGCACCTGCCCATAGATTCTGGCTGCCGTCAACCAAACAGAAGCGACAGCCCCCCGTGCCATCTGCCACGTCGGCTGAACACTCGAGAGCACGTCTGCCAAATAATGCCATGCTCGCCCACCACAAATGAAAGTTGGCGGCACGGTCGGTGCTACCATGAATGCCCCACTCACGCTCGACTTTTCTACTCAGCATGTTGATCGCTGTGATCCCGTAGCTGTCCGTGCTACGTTGCTGGCCGAGAGAGATCTGCTAATGCACAATTGCTTGAGCACTGTGCGTGTGGTTCCGCTGACCCCTACACGCTCGTGCATCGCTTCTCCTTCGAGGGGAGGGGGAGAGAGAGGAGGGGGAGGAGAAGGAGAAGGAGGAGGAGGAGGAGGAGACAGAGGAGGAGGAGGAGGAGGAGGAGGAGGAGGAGGAGGAGGGAGGAGGAGGAGGAGGAGGACCAGGAGGAGAGGAGAAGCCCGCGCTGGCTGCCTGCGGGGGACGCTGCACTGCACACAGGGCGCGAAGCTTGCGCGCGCCGCGGCACGGCCTGCGGCGGGACTTCCCCGTGCAGCCTCCGCGCCGGAGCAGAGGGGGAGGAGGACGGGGAGGAGGGCGGGGAGGAAGGGGACGAGCCGAGAAGGAGGCGGAGGGGCCGCTGGGGAACGGGCGGACACACGCCCGTCCGTCTTGGGGTGCCCACCCCCCCCCCGCGGGACGCCGTGGCCCGAGCGGCCTGCCGGCGGCAGGCTCCTGCGGCCCTGCGGCTCGTCGGCTCCCGCGTGGACGTCCGGCCCGCCCAGAGATCTCACGGAGAGGGGCAACTGCAGCACCCGCAGACGAGGGCGTGGCCCACCCTGGCCACCCGATGGCCCCTCTCGGCGAAAACACCCGGGGCAAGGGGGGAACCGGCACGTCGATCCCCTCAGAAGGCGGGGGCAGGGGCTCCGCAAGGTCAGCCTCACACACACACACATCGACCTCCAGAGTGGTCGCAGGCGGGGGGCGCGGCCCACTCGCGAACAGCAAGAACTCAACGCGGAGAAGAAGGAGGAAGAAATGAGGAGCGGAGGAGGAGGAGGAGGAAAATCAAGGGGAAGAGGAGGAGGATGAGGATGAGGATGAGGATGAGGATGAGGATAATGATGATGATGATGATGATGATGATGATGATGATGATGATGATGATGAGGAGGAGGAGGAGGAGGAGGAGGAGGAGGAGGAGGAGGAGCAGGGGGGAGGAGCAGGGGGGAGGGGGAGGGGAAGTAGGGAGCGGGAGGCGGAGGTGGGACGCGGGGTGGTGCGGACTCAAAACGAAGACCGAAGACCGCAAGCTGGTTGGGAACAAAACATGTAACACAGGATGCATCTGCCGGCAATAATTGGAGCCTTCTGCAGCAGTCCCGGGAACATCTTGGGCCCTCTTGGAGCCCTCCACGAATGACTTCAAGTTTGTTGAACATGTACTAGTTTCCACATCATACGTGGTTGTCTTGTTCTCTGTCCACATCTCCCGCGCAGGAAGAAACCCCTAACCACTCTCTCATCGTCTCCTCCATCATCACCATCATAACTCGCTTTCTCACACACGCCGTCACTTTCATCGTCATCATCATTTCCATCACCGTCATCATCCTCAATCCCCATCCTCACCCTCACCCTCGTCCTCATCATGATTCTCCTCATCACCACCACCACCACCACCAGCATCAACATCATCACCATCACCATCACCATCACCATCACCATCACAATCATCATGACCATCACCACCATCACCATCATCATCACTACCATCGTTATCATCACATCAGCAGCATCATCGTCATCATCGCCGTCGTCATCATCGTCGCCATCAGCATCATAATCATCATCAGTGTCATCATCATCCTCACCACCATCAACATTATCATCATCCTAATCATCATGGCAATCAGCATCCATCATCCTCACAATCAGCATCATCATCCTCATCCATATCCTGATCCTGATCCTCATTCTCCTCCTCCTCCACCTCATCATCACCATTATCACGAACATCAACATGAACATCATGATCAACATCATCAGCATCATCATGATCATCATGATGATGATCATCATCATCATCATTATCATCATCATCATCATCATCATCATCAGCATCAGCATCAGCATCAGCATCATCATCATCATCATCACCACCATCACCATCATCATCATCTCACACAGTGCACGCACATAATCAACGCTGCAATCACCATGGCCCAACACATTCGCACACTCGCCCCCCCCCTCACCCTCTCACACGCCTACTCACACGCCGCACGCTCCCGAGGCCTGACTCTCGAGGCAGTCTCGAGCCGGAGCCTAGTGCGTGAGCGAGAATCGCGAGGAAGTCTCGAGCGGGAGCCCCCTCCCTTAGGGTTAAGTCGGGCCTGTCCCCCCACAGGGGAATTTTCGACGAGAAACAAAAAAAAATAGCCCAAAATGGCCAACAAATATTCAAAAAATAGTCCCCAGACTATTTTTGGACTATTTTCGGACTATATTTTCTATTTTTCATCGAAAATCCCCCTGTAGGGGGACAGGCCCGACTTAACCCTAAGGGGCTCGCACACCGTGCTGGTACGACCCGACTTTAGCACACATTTAACAGCTGGGATACTTCACGAGGACGGCACCAAATACAACAGACGCTTCGTCGGCAACATTGCCATCGACCATCCGACACCCGTATCAATGCCGCTCTGAGCGAACTACTGTCTACCACGAACAATGATACCTCACAAGATCATTGGCAGAACCGCCATTGGTGCCCCCTGGCACGTTGAGGCGCAATGCCATGTGCTGTCTGGCAGGGTTTCAGCAAATCCTCCACACACCCGGCGCCCCCAGCTACACCCTGTTCCATCAGCGGCTGCGCGCGCGGCGACACAACGATAGCAGTTGGAGCAGAGCAGGGCCGGGACGCAGGCGAAGAGATGTAAGCTTAGGTCGGG